TGTATCCCGAAGAAAGGTTATTCTTGGACAATTCAGACACCATCATAGGGAGCACGATAACGAAGACCAAGCCAAACTTCTGAACTTCGTCTACTTATACTTATCGTATCATCTAAAGTTTTATCCTACCGAGCAATGGCCTGAATTTTCCTCGACCTTGGCACGCTTCAAAAACCGAGCACACGCCACATGTTATACAGCTCGTTGGAAGAAATCACTGAAATTAATTATTTAAACGATAGCCAGATGGGCTTCATACCTTACAACTGATACTACTTCATGAAAGCTTTTCAGCTTTTAATGTTATATATATATATAATTATTGAATGCATCATAATTAATATTTTGCCAATATAAATTTTTTTTAACTTGAATTGTTAATTTAATACATTGATTTTGGGATTCTAATTTTTTGTTGTAGGATATTGATATTAATAATTATATGAGTAAAGAGAATTAATTATAATATTAGATAAGTTCTTTAAAAATATGTTCTTTAAATATTTTATGAAGTTCTTCAATATTTCTCAAGTTTTTATTAATGATTTCAATAGAGATTTTTAATATAGTCAATCATATTTTTGAATTATTATTATATTTAACTTATATATATTTAACTTATTCTATTATTGTCAAATTTCTTATATCTTTTAAATATAAACTTCTATTCTACAATAATTATAATTTTATTTCTTATTTTAAATATTAGTAATCTTCATTACTTTCTAAAAATTTGGTCATTGTAATGATTGTAACCATTTATAATAGATCATTGCTGGAAGAATGATGATATGCAAATTTTGTCACGATCGATTCTCCAGTTTGACCGAAAATAAAAATGCATATTTGTAATTACGCACGCGTTTTTCAACATCTTCAGAATTTTGTGAATTTTTTGTCTCGTTAATTCCTCAGAAATTAAACTTTTAACAACTATTTTTTTTCTCCCACTTTGTTAATTGCTTTTTGAAACAATAAATAATAAAAGAATTTTATAAAATCATAATAAATAACTATGGTTTACAATTAACAAGTAATAAAATGGGAAACGCATTAAGTCTTTTTAATTTTAAATTATACAGAAGTTTGGAAATGTAAATCGTTATCATTCAATATTATTTAAATAAGTAAATCGCATTGTGTTGTAAATATTTTATATTATATAGATTTTAATTCCTATAGGTAACAGACCAGACGATGGATGGCCTGTTATGGTGTGGTTTCATGGTGGTGATTTTAACACTGGCACTCCAGCTATATGGGATGCATCATTTTTCGTTAACAAACATAAAGTAAGTTACTTAAGTTACATATTAGATTCTAAAAAGTTTTTAAAATTATAATTTTCACTTATTATATAACTCTATTCCAAAAATGATCAAAAATATAACAAACAATTATAAAATTACATATTTTTAATTATCTAGAATAAAAATCTAAATTCAAATTAATTTATAGTAAAAAGGAAATGTGACTGTGATTTTTTTACATTTTGCAAATATTATTAATAAGCTAGATCTTAATTATTTTTACATTGGAAAGACGTTTTATGATTAGCAAATGATGTTTTGACCTTTTATTCTGTACATAAAGGAAAAAAATTTCAAATTGCGAATCAATCAGAGCTAACGATGAAAATCGACAGAAAATCGAAGGAAATTAGGATGTTTCTTGCGTGCTTTAGCTAATCCAAAGTAAATTTAACCTTTGGAATCGCACAGAGAACGGTCCATCTATGATGCATACCTTAGGTAACGCTGATAAATGTTAATAATCAGGAACAACAGCCACGAAAACATTAACGTTGAATTCATTGTTGAGGGAACACGTTTAACGATTCTTAAAAATTGTTATAGAAACATACAACGATATATTATACAGTAATACAAGAGACCTCATAATCTAACTATATTATAAGAACATATCTAACACTACTAATTCATTTATAGTCTTACAAAGCAATGTAAAAACGACGTTATAATAGAAAATCTTATATAGATAATATTAATAATCTACCTTATAAACATCTTCCTATCTAACATATTGTTTAAAGCAGAATGGATCATATAGATTAACTCGTAACTTAACATTCACACGTTCCTAATCTCTCAAAGCTCCTTTTTCTTCAAATATCTGATCTACAGAAAGTTGAAAAAAAGAAAAAATTGATTCAGAAAATATAAACCGCAATTTTTCGCAGTTAAAGATCCTAACCCCTCTAAGAAGGAACATGTAACTTCGAAAATTCTTAACCTATCCATTAACAATATTGCCTCTCGCTCATCTTCTCAAAAAAACTCTTTGTAATCTCTAATTCTAACACGCTAACGATTTAATTGATCTTTTTCAGATCATGGTGGTCACGGTGGCTTATCGTCTCAATATCCTTGGCTTCTTCACAACCACGGACGCAGAGGCTCCAGGTAATTATGGCATGTTCGATCAAATAGCAGCACTGGACTGGATTCAGAAGAAGATCAAGAATTTTGGTGGTTCTCCGTCCAATGTGATAATATATGGCCATAGTTCGGGTGCCATAAGTGTAGGTTTGCACCTGGTTAGTCCTCTGAGCAGAGGTAAATTCTCCAAGGCCATTGCCATGAGCGGAGACGCAGTAAGCTCTGTGGGTTTACCACAAACGGAATTACCGGTGGTTGATATCATCGCCGAAAAATTTGGTTGTTATCGACAACCCACATCAGCCTTGATGGAGTGTCTTCGTCGAGTAGACGTAAACATCCTGGTCCGTGAATCCTCAGAAATAGAAACGTGGGGTCCTATTGTTGATTATACAACTAATAACTCCACAGAACCGTTTCTATCTATGCATCCAAGAGATGCATTAGACAGTGGCACTTTGAATTCTGTTCCTCTACTCGTTGGTTATACGAATAATGAACAGGCATTGGCTTACATAGAGTCCCTAAGCAAGGAGAACGTAGATGGTAAACTTTCGTTTAACAAGTTCGAGATGCTAATCACTGACGAATTTGTATCATTGGTCCAGAGCCCGGAAGACAATAGTACCTGCGACCTGAAGCCAGAAATGGTCGCCGAGGCGGTATTATTTTTTTATAAACCTCATCCACCGAGCAAGGATCAAGGTGTGCTTCGGGATAGATATTTGGACTTGCAAACGGAGAAAAATTTTGCAGCTGGGCTTACTCTGTTAGCTGATAAAGTATCCAAGGAGAAGCTGGCATTCGTTTATAGATTTGACTATAGGCCCAAGACACAATTTATCATTAAAGATGTGCCTGAATGGGCTGGCGTTCCCCATATGTTTGAGCTACCATTTGTCTGGGGACTTCCCCTATTAGTTAACAGCCCTGTTCAGTGGAACTTCGCTGACAAAAAAATGGCTGACGTGATGATGACGATGTTGGCTAGTTTTGCCAGGGTTGGTAATCCATCCCTGAGTAATGTTAAATGGGAATCATACACTGAGGAAGAGCCTGGGATCTTGATTATCGATAGAAACATCGATATGAGCAATTCCAACGCAATTGATTACAAAGCACTGGCTTTCTGGAACGAATATTATCCGATGGTTCTTGAAGAGGCAAGGAATAATTGTTGTAATATAACCAGCCAATCTATTGCATTGAGGAAAGCTTCTTATAAGATTATTTTGAGTAGTTTTGTTCTTGTCATAATGTTTTGGTACATAGAATTATAATTAATAATATGAATTATTCTATTTTCCTTTAGATATACTTTTTGCACTTTCTTTTGTACAAACATTGACAGATATAGAGCATCCTGGTTTGTGTTAACTTCTTGAGATGATGAATTGTAATACAATTTATTCTTGCTTCAATAAAATTCCATTTTGTGCTTAATCATGTTTAATTGGCTATATTATCGTGGTTCCTAATTTCAATTAACTTGAATAGTCTTGTCTTCATAGTAAGCGATGGATACATGAAAGAAACCTAAATAAGAAAATATAGACGAATGAATATCGCTTAACATTTTATATAAATTATAGAAGTAAAGAAAGATTGATTGACATTAAAAGAGATATTAAGAAATTGAGAAGACAAATGGTATATATTCATAAAGTTCCAAACTAATTAATTTGTACGCTTCGAACAATATTTATTGCAAAAATTAAATTTTAAATGGTTTAAATGTGAACTTAAATCATAAAAAAGAAGGGGAAAAAATGAGGTGTTTTGGATATAATAATGAGGAGGAGAACCAGAGAGCCTGGGCTTTTTACTTTGTTTAGTCTTTTTTATCTTTTTCTTAACATTCACTGAGAGATTTTTTATTATTTGCTTTAATACGGAGAGATATAGAAAAAACATATATTGTTCGAGAAACAAACGATTGATAACTTATGAATATTTTGATGCTTCGATAATAATAATTAATAATAATAATAATAGTAATAATAATCATTCGTGTGTATGTCTGTCTGTCTGTGTGTTTTT